CAAATTTTGTCATGTGTGTGACATCCATTTGTCAAATATCGCCAGGGATCAACCCTCTGGGGTTAACCCCCATTGATATGGCAGGCGTGTGTGTGGCGCATGAGCCGCACAGTCGCACGATGTCCCGCGCGTCAGCCCTGGAGATGCGGTACTGGTTGGCTAGCGTCCTGGCATTGACATGGAATTTGTCATGGAACTGACGGGCTTGCTCTATTGGAGATAACATATTGAAAATCCATAACGGGCGAGTGGCCGCGTCAGCAGCCGCATTGCCCTGTACCATGGGCCCTGGTAGGTGTGTATGTGCTCTTATGTGAGTGATGTATATTTTGTTGTGTCTATTTATGAGCAATGTCTGGATAGACAAAAACAAGTTAGTTACTTTGGAGGTTGGTTTAATTGGGCCTGCAGTCTCAAGGACCTGCATGGCATTGACAACATATTTTGAATCAGAAACAATATTAAGGGCCCCTGGGAACTTCTCGAGGACGGTTTGTATAATTTGTAACTCCACCACCTGTGGTTGATCTGGTTTAAACTGTATGTTAACTGGAGGCATGCCTGAGACCACATAGGCCCCTATCCCGGTTTTTGACCCATCAGTATAGACTGTTGTTGCAGGAGTAAGGGGTGCAGGGGCGGTGATTTTTGGAAATATCACCGGATGTTGAGTAATAAACTGTAGTATAGGGTCCTTAGGGAACTGATTGTCTATCTCCCCAAGAAATACACATCTCAGGATGGCCCAAGTATCTATGCAAGCAGTCAGAATTTTTATTTGAGAAGCGGTATAAGGCACCCGAATAGCGTGAGGCGTGGAGCCAAAATGCTGGATGGCTCTACTATGTGCCTCCAGAGCCAGAGAAGCAACTGCTTCCGGGTAATGTTTAATAATCTTGGCAGGTGAAACCTTAGGGTGCATCCACAGAAGTGGTCCTTTCTGCCAAATCACTGCCGTGGGCTGGGAACTGGTCTGCAACAAGCAGACCTCAAAAGGCTGTTCTGGGTCAATTCTCTGTAATGTAGCTTTGCTTAGGGCCTCTTTTATCTTTTTTAGAGCAACTCTGGCCTCTGGGGTGAACTCTCTAGGGGAGGCAATATCCGGATCCCCTCTCAGGAGATCAAACAGGGGCTTTAAGTCCGAATTAGGGATGTGCAAGTAAGGTCTGATCCAATTTATATCTCCCAGTAACTTTTGCATGTCATTTAGGGTTGTAAGATTATCTGTTCTGATGGTTACCTTCTGTGGAGAAATCGATGTAGGGGAGACTTTGGTACCCAAGTAAGTCACTATGTCTCCTCCTTGAATCTTGTCAGGGGCAATATGTAAATTAGCCTTTTTTAGGGCCTTGACCAGTTGGCCTAGCATATCCTCTAACCTATTTATGTCCTTCGCACTGATCAGCAGATCATCCATGTAATGAATGCACCTAACTCTGGGGAAGGCTTTGCGTAGGGGGGCCAGTAGGGAATCAAGGTAAATCTGACACATAGTGGGACTGTTGGCCATACCTTGGGGCAGCGTTATCCACTCGTATCTGAGATCAGGGCTTTTTTGGTTAATGGTGGGTAAGGTAAAGGCGAACCTATGGGTGTCCTCTGGATGCAGGGGGATTGAGAAGAAACAGTCTCTAAGATCTATAACATAAACTGGCCAGGACTGAGGGATGGCTGAGAGAGCTGGCAGCCCCCTCTGGACCGCCCCCAGGGGCTGCATCTGCGCGTTGACTGCCCTTAGATCATGGAGCAGCCTCCACTTATCTGATTTCTTTCTAATAACAAAAACAGGGGTATTCCAAGGGGAGGTTGATGGCTTTATGTGCCCTGCCTGAAGCTGGGTTTTGACTATCTCGGTTAACGCTAAAAGCTTCTCCTTGGGTAGGGGCCACTGAGGTACCCAAACCGGATTCAGGGACTTTCAAGTGATCTTAATTGGAGTAGGCAGGAGAACTTCCTCAGCGGCCCCTAGGAAAAACCCAGCCCGTGTCTACCTTCCCTTTTTTCTACAGGTACGGGAGATGTCCGGCCCTGCAGGGCAGAGCCCAGGCCCTTGCCGGGGACATATCCCTGATTCTTAAGTATACCCTTGGCTTGGGGAGAGCAGGTGGATGTAAGAGTGACATCCATCTGAGTGAGGATGTCTCTTCCCCACAAAGATACCGGCAGCTGTAGAACAAAAGGTTGAAAATGTCCTTGGTGACCCTCCTCATCACACCAAGGCAGGGTCACGGCACTAACCTGGGGGGCAGCCACCATCCCCAACCCTTGGAGTGTGTTATCAGCTGTATTGGTGGGCCAGCTAGAAGGCCAGTCCCTCTTGGAGACAATGGAGCGGTCTGCCCCTGTATCCAGGAGTCCTGTTATATTTCTACCATTAACCCTGAGCGAGAGCATGGGTCTTTTATCAAGAGTCATATGAAGTCCTTTAAAAATTTCTCCAGAGGAGCCAAAACCCTGATCCCCTCTAACCCGTTGTCTAGACTGGAATCTCTCATGGAGACTGGGGAGCAATAAAAGTTGTGCTATCTTATCCCCCTCATTAATCACCATGGTCCCTACATGAGATTGGACCATAATCTTAATGTTTTTTGTGTAGTCTGAGTCTATAACCCCAGGGAGCACGGTAAGGCCCCGGAGGGCTGTGGAGGACCGTCCAATCACTAAACCAACTGACTTTTCAGGTAGCGGTCCTTTGAAGGTGGTCCCGACCACCTGAACGCCCATATCGGGCGTTAATAGGAGTCTGGAGGCGACACAGAGGTCCACGCCTGCTGACCCAGGGGTAGCCCTTGTGGAGGGCTGCCACCTTGTGTTGTCCTGTCTAGGGGGCGGGGGCCCGTCCGTAAGGAGGGCCCCCTCTGGCCGTTTTTTGGCTCCTGAATCCCCCTGCCACTAATGCGGTTTCCCTGGGCATCAAAAACTGATCTGCAATCTTTCGCTTTGTGTGTTCCCTTCCTGCATCGTTCGCACATGCCTATTGGCCCTTCCCGTGTATTAACACTGTGCGGACAGTCTCTCCTAATATGCCCTGGTTCCCCGCAGCCAAAACATCCTTTGGGCTTACGATCTCGCTTAGGTCTAGAAGCATCCTTAGCTTGTGCTGTCGCGGCTACAAAGGCCGCCGCAAGCTTTGCTGCAGTCATCTGCCCTCCAATCTCCCTATAAATCCTAATCTAAGCATTGAGATCCTTGTTTTTATGCGGGGCAAGAGCCGCTTTGCACTCCGTTGTGCATTGTTTAAAAATGAGTTGTTTGATCAGGGGCTTTGCCACCTCTTGGTCTGAAAAAACTTTATCGCCCGCGTCTTGCATCCTAGCCACGAAATCAACAAATGGCTCTGTGGCACCCTGCACTATCTTTGAAAGGCATAATGAGGCCGCCCCCGCACCGTTTATCTGTTTCCATGCGCGGAGCCCAATATTAGAGATTTGGTCATACACCTCATTGGGGAACTGAGTTTGGTCATCCCTATATTTACCTGAGCCCTGGAGCATATCTTCGTTCCACCTTGTATGCCCCCTGCTAACATTTTTTTTTTGCTTGCTCGATGGCAAACTCGGCATACCAGGCTCGCCAATCAAGATAACTACCCGAAGGAAGGCATGCCTTGGCCAGCTGCATCCAATCACCTGGTGTAAGAGGCTGAGAGGCAAGATTCTCTAGCATAGCTATAGTATAAGGAGCTGTGGGCCCGAAGGTCGTGACAGCGCTTTTTAATTCTCTAATCTGTTTTATTTTAAACGGTTCCCAAACATTGCGCCCTTGGCCTGGGGCCATTTGCACAGGATATACTCCATAAAGACCGTAATCCATTCCTTGCATCGGTGGATCCCCTCCGGGCCATCGTTCACCCCTCCATAACCGCCCATGAAAATATCGTCCGCCCCGCGGCGCAACGTCATAAGACGGCGGTCGCGACAGAGTGGAACGGGGCGTCACTTCCTGTGCCGGCTGAGAGAAGGGAGGGTTCCCTGTAGCGGCCTCTCGGCGGGGAGCCGCTTCTGGAAAAGAGCTCCAGGGCGGAGCGGATGGCTCTCTGTCTCCTCCCCGCCAGAGAGCGCTCGGGGGCCCTTTCTCCTCTCTCTGCTTTTCCCGGGCGGCGCACGCACACAATTCCAATTCACGGCGCAACTCGGCATAGGGGTTTTTGGCCTCTCGGCTTCCCGCCCCACCTTCTGGTTCCTCCTCGCTATCTAAGTCGGAGGACTCTAGAGCTTGGGTGTCCTCTATCTTTCCCTGGATTTTTTCCCCCTGGACAGATCCCTCCCGAGAGCATTCCGACTTTGCCTGCTCAAAAGCCTTGCGTACGTCTATGATTTCCGCGTCTCTAACTGTCGACGGGAACCCCTTCCCCTCCCCTTCAAGGCACGCATGTATCATTTCCCACAGGGGGCGAATAGCCGGCGAAATATCCCCTTCCAATTCCGCCAAGGCGAGGTCCCCGCCTAACTTCTCCCATGAAGGCAGGTTTAAATGCCCCGTGGGTAAAAACCAGGGAGCTACCCTATCTACCTCTGCTATGAATAGTTCCAGTGTTTTTTGACCTACCCTGAGGTCTCTAGCTTTTAAAAGCTTTCTAAGGGCCTTTACCAAGGGCCGCGCCTCCGCGCTCGGTAAATTACCCATCTCTAACCTCTAAGGGCTGTAACTCACCGCGTGTGACTTAAAGAACCCGTCACCTACGCGTGAGCCTGAGGGGAGTCTAAAAGCCCTGTAGGTGCGCGCCACCCAGAGCCCAGGCTTATCCCCAACTCACCTGTCCGGCAGCACCACGCTGGAGCGTTGCACACCACCGCCGTGTCTCGGGGTTGATCAGTCCCCGTGCGGGTCACCAAATGTCGGTGTCGCTCCCGGCCTGCAGGAAGAACACGCGACAGATTCTGACAGTGTGTAACCTTGCCTTTATTTGTCTCCACGTGGGCCCCGCGAGGCCTCCTCTCTGTCACCAGCCCTTTCTCGCCGGTGGACTTTCTCTATCTCTCTCTGTGCTTCCTCTCGTGGCGGGAGAGGCATTTACTTTTATAGGGCAACAGTAGCCAATCAGTTTAAAGCGCGCGATGCGGGCTGACTGGCTAACATCAGTTGTTGCTAGGCAGACTATCTTACAGAGCGGGTTGTTTAAGTCGCCAGCACAATCAGGGGGCAGGAAGCAGGCGCCAACTTGACTCACTCGATGGGAGGGGCAATCTAGCTCAGGCTCCGCTCCCACCCACAGGCCCTACGTCCGCCAAGTAAGGCGACCAGTGTCGGCCGCGGCTCCCAACAATGCACTATTTGTAAGTAGTGGTTAAGATATGTAGTAGTGGTTATATGTAAAAGTAGTGCTTTTACCACCACATGCAGTTTGAGTTTTTGGTCTAAATTATTCAAATGCTGCCCTGGTGAGTCTGAGAACACACTGTTACTTTTTTTCAAGAAATAATACATACTTTTGAAGAAAAGAAGTTTGTCCGAACACCACATAATGGATTTCCCTCCAAACACCACATAATGGATTTCCTTCCTACACTGAACACCTTGAAATACTTCTTTAAACAAGTTGGTGTTCTGGTATTACACAGATTTTATTATTCTACAGAAGGGATGAGGGCTCATTTGCAATGCCCCTCCTCCTTCGATCTTTATTTTTCTGACCATGGTGACTCTTTGAATATCATCTTACCTCTTTCACTCCTGTCTTTCTTGGTGAGGCCTAGTTTCTCCTTCCCTGTGTATCTTTATCACATGGCTCATTCCAACTGACACATTTTGTTAGTGATATAAGACAGATTAGAAGGAGTATAATCATTGTGAGTGTTGTTTCTCATTCTTCCAGGTCAACAAGCTTACTTTCAAAGATAGCACTCCTTGATTGCTCTGATTGGGGTATAAGTGATCAATATCCAGCTTGTGGTTTTCTCTACAGTTGACTTGTTAATTTAACTCACTGTGTACTGATAACATATGCAGTGTACTGATAGAAGAGTGACTGGCTTATACTTTCATTATTTGAGCTATTATAAGTAATGTAGCTTTTGCATCAAATGAAAATATATTGGGATGATTATTCTTTCACTGATCATTAAATATTTAAAATTCAAATTTGTGAACATAATTTTTCAATAAAATCTTCATTTGAAGATCTTAACCCTTGGCTGGTTATGGTGGCACATGCCTTTATTCTGAGCACTTGGGAGACTGAGGCAGGAGGATGGCTGTGAGTTTCCAGCCAGCCTTGGCTACACAGTGGGTTCAAAGCCAGTCTGAACTGGAGAGAGACTGTCTCAAAAAAAAAAAAAAAAATGACTCTACTATTGCTTTATGTTCCCTGCATACTACAATGCCTCTTCCTTCCAGTTTTGTGGTATGCTGATAAAATAAACCAAAAAAAGTAACATTGTCAAATCTGTTAAAATAGTTAAGATAGTTTTCACTTTTGCAACAAATGGGGGGGTTATGTAATATATAAACATCAAAATATGTAAAGTTGATAAATATATTACTGATACATATAAATACTCAAAATTCTAAGGAGATATGGAAATAAACCTTTTAGAAAAAAGAAATACTCTATTTTTATAAAAAGCTAAACATAGCAATGATTATAGTGTGTATCCATGTTACTTTTTACATATTTAACAATCTGTCCTATGTAATTTAAAGAAACCTCAAGAGAATGCATCTAATAGACAAAGCAAGTAATTAAACAGAGGGGGGATAAAAAGGGAACCAACAACAGAAAGATAACACGACAAGGAAATGTCAGTATGCATCAGTTATAATTATTAATGTAAATGGTCTCAATTCATCAATCAAAAGAAGCAGAGTGGTAGAATGGACAAAGAAGCAAGATCCAACAATTTGCTGCATGCAAGAAATACATTTAATTAAAAAACAAATTCATATACTGAAAGTCAAAGGATCGAAAACAAAAACAATACTCCATGCAACAGGAACCTAGAAAAAAAGCAGAGCAGGTATTCTGTTTGCAGACAAAGTAGATTTCAGGTTAAGAGAGACAAAGAAGTTCACTACATCCTACTAAAGGGAACAATCCAAGAGAAAGAGATAACAGTCATAAATCTATATGTACCAAACACTAGCACACCCAACTATATAAAATAAATATTGATGGAGGTAAAGAAAAAAAAATAGCACTCATACAGTTTTAATGGGAGACCTCAAGACCCCAGTGTAACAAATATGCAACAAATGGGGGGGGGGGGTATGTAACTAGACCAAAACTAGTCCAAAATGGAAAGAAATGTTAAAATTGAACCATGAACTTAGTAGATGTTCACACAGTTTCCCTTCCGCAACATCAGAATGCACATTCTCATCTGAAAATAAGATATTCTCAAAATAGATCACAAATAAGCTGATAGAATGTCCTTAACTAAATACAAAGGAAATTGAAATTAGCCTATGCATATTATGAGACTATCATGCAAAGAAATTGGAAATTAATGGCAAAAGATACCACAAAAACTTCATAAACATATGAAAATTAAATGATACCCTCCTTAATAGCTAGTGGGTCACACATGAAACTAAAGAAGAAATTAAACATTGTCTACAATTAAATGATAATGCCAGTACAACATATTACAGCTATGGGATACAATGAAAATAGTCCTATGAGACATATTTATAGTAGTGAATTCTCATATCAGAAAAATAGCAAGGTCAAATTAACAGCCTAATGCTGAATCTTGAGTTTCTAGGAAAGAAGAACAATTCAAGGCCAAAGTTTGTATGAGGGAGGAAATTATAAAGATTGAAGCAGAAATAAATGTACTTAAGACTAAGTAAACAATACAAAGAATGAATGAAGAGTTGATGCTTTAAAAAACTAAATAAAATTTTAAATTTCTTACCCAACCTTATCAAAAAAGGAAAGAATCAAACCTGTGCAACTAGGGATGAAAGAGTGAAATTGCAACAGATCTGCTGAAATCCAGATGTCCCTCAAGGCATGCTTCTGGAAGTTACATTCTAATAAGAAACTATTCCACAGAAGAAACAGACTCCTACATGCACATGAATTACTAAAGCTGAATTAAGAAATAAAAATGCAAAATGAAGCACTATCAGTTAATGAAATTGAAGATGTAATTTAAAAACTACCAACAAAGAAAAGCTCTAGTCTTGATGGACGCATTGCTGAATTATACAAGAAATTTAGAGAAGACCTAGTGCTACTACACCTCCAATTGTTTAATGAAATTGAAAGGGAAGTAATACTCCCAAATTCATTGATGGAAGCAAACATTACCTTGATACCAAAACAAGAGAAGGATTCAACCAAAAAAGGAAACTACAAGTCAGTGTCCCTAATGAATAGAGATGCAAAAATCCTCAGTAGTATACTGGCAAATAGCATGCAGCAGATCAAGGTTATAGGCTAGTACCAAGTAGGATTCATCTCAGGGATGTAGTGATAGTTCAACATACACAAACTAATAAATGTAATATAGAGCCAAGGACAAAAGCCATGTGATCATTTCAATAGATGAAGAATAACTGTTTGACAAAGTCCAAACAGGACTTTGAAAAACCTACAGAAAACTGTAATAGATGGTAATTATCTCAATCTGATAAAAAGCTATCTATGATAAGCCAACAGGCAGCATCATGCTAAATGGTCATAAACTGAAAGCTTTCTCTCTAAATTCAGAAACAAGTCAATGATATCCACTATCACCATTTTTATTCAATATAACCTTGTAAGTGTACGGCAGTAAGTTCGATCCCCAGTACCAAAAAAAAAAAAAAAAAAAGGAGTTGAATTATTATTTGCACATGGCATGATACTCTATATGGAAAACCCCAAAAACTCCATGAGAAGACGTCTAGATTTAATAAACAAATTCATTAATGTAACAATAGAAAGTTAACACTCAGAAATCGATAATATTCCTGCATACAAATAACAAACTCACTGAGAGAGAAATTAGGGAAATCACACCCTTCACACTAACATCCAAAAAAATGCAATATCTAGGAATCAATGTAATGAAGATAGTAAATAACTCTACACTAAAAATTGCAGTGCTCTGAAAAAGGAGATGGAAAAAGATCTAAGATATTCCTTGTTCTTTGGAAGGTAAAAACAAAATAGTGAAAATGGCCATGCTTCCAAAATTGTTACACAGATTTAATGCAAGCCCTATATGATCTAAAGGACCATAATTTCATGTTTGCTATTTTGAATATTCATTATACTGTAAACAGTATTATGTGTATTGTTTATCTACTGAGTTGAAAACTCCTATTTCAACAAACTTTAGTGGATACTTAGCTTGCATATGAAGCACTTGAGTGATGGTACTTTATTGCTCCGAAAAGATATCTTCCTGTATTATACTGCTGTTTTACAAACAAATGATAAAATGTTCATCCTTATTGTTTAAAAATACTTGAAATGCTATAAAACTTTACTATGAGTTTAATATACTTTTAGAACTTTGTAACAGATATGAAAATGATAGTTTTATTATATACTACATATCATGCTTCTAAGAACTGAGAATTACAATACAAAATTATCATATTTTAATTTAATTTCCAATTCTAAGGGGTTATAATTAAAAATCAAATTGCACTGATACCTTGGTACATGAATTTAATTCTTCCCATGACTCTGGACATAACCCAAATTGGATGACAACCAAATCAAATTTCCCCATCATATCAGCACTGCATCTACTCATTGAACTTGATTCAGTTATTGACCTGTTCAGTTTGTGACCAGAATCTTGGAAAGAATTAAGTTCATGAACAGAGTTACTACTGCAGCTGAATTTTTAAAAAGTTAGCCTTTTGAAATAAAAGGCTTTCCTGTGATATGTGACAAATTTTGGGCTTCTGCATCAAAGAAATTGAAAAGAAAAAGATATTAGAAAGGCAACACAGAGAAAATGAAAGGACTATTGATCCTGCCAAGGTTGAGAACTAAACATTCTGGGAAAAGCAGTTAGAAATGTTGGATAAAGTGCAATAAACTTCCTCCTATGTATATTGCTGACCTTGTTAGAGAGGGTTCCTGAGGACGTTTATAAAGAGAAAGCTAAAAACCATTGCAGTAAGCTGGCAGTGACACTGCATTTGCCTCTAGCCATTTGGTGGGCTCTGTTACGCAGAGGTTTGAGCATTAAAACCTGCTGACTAGTGGACATAGGACCTGGGCTGTGCAAGAGAGGATTTAAAATTGAAAACTTTGAAACATGCCCTGCGCATCTGGTGACCACCATTAGGGATGCTTGTTTCCCTCAGGTAACCAGCATGGGTCGAAGGATGCAACCAGCCATATCCCTGTGCACCTGCCAGTGCTTAAAACAGGTTCAAAGAGATATCTAGGACATTAAAAACTGAGCTGAAAACTGCCAAAACTTCATGAATGAAACTGAAGATAGACTTTCAGACCTTTACAGAATGACATTTATAGTGATAGGAAAAATTTCTTTAAACACTAACAAGGAACCAGAAAATAACAATTCAATGGCTGCAAGACAATTCAAAACAAAAAATAATTTAAGAGTGAAAAGTATCAGTGAAAAAGCAGGAGTTAACACAACATAAAAAGTCTATTTACAGAAGTAATAGCAGAAAACTTTCCAAGCATGGGAAAAGGACCTGACATAAGGTAAGTAAGGCCTGTAGAACTCCAGCTAGCCATAACCAAAATAAATCTACACCCAGACATAAATAATCAGGATGTCAGAAATGCAGCACAAGAACAGAATGTTAAAAATTGCTAACGATAAGAAACAGGTCTCCTATAAAAGAAACGCATCAGAATCACAGCAGACTTCTCAGCATAAACCATCAAAGTCAAGAAGAGGTTGGAGTGAAATATTTCAAGTCCTGGAAGAAAATAACTTCAACCCAGATTGATGTACCCTGCAAAGCTATGTTTCAAAATTAATGAAGAAATCCGTGACAAAGGACAACTGAAGAAATTTATGACCACCAATCCAACCCCAACAAAGCCTGATATAGTATATTCTAGAGAAAGATAAAGATGTCTACACTTCCAGGAATAGCAACAGCAGTGGACTGCTGAGCAGGGCAAGCAGTTGAAAGGAGGGGAAAGTTAGGGGCAAACAGTAGGATGGCATGGCGAAGATGGGCCAGTACATGCTGGGCAGAACTATTAATGTAGGTGGCCTCAATTCACAAATAAAAAGAGACATAGGCAGAGTAGATCAAAAACATCCATCAATACTGTATATAAGAAACACATATAACTAGAAAGATAATTCATAGACTGAAAGTCAAAGGAGAAAACAATGGTTCATGTAGCAGAAAACCAGAAAAAAGCAGGGGTATGTTGCCCGTCAACCGCAAAATGGAAAAGAAAAATACGTTATTTTTATACAGTGGGAAGCTACACAGCCATAAATAAGGTTATTCTCGAGCCTCTTGTAAGTAAATGGGTGCAACTTGAGATCATGCGTGCTGGTGATATGGTTCATATTCATATGGGTGAACATCGTGTTGCCTCCCTAATATAAAAAACAGAAGGAATTAGTGGGTTCCAAAATGTACAATAGATACTGTGAAAGTGAAAGTTGAGGAATCCTGTAAAAAAGGAAGGTGGTAGCTATTGTTAGTTTCCTATTACCTTGTTTTGAGATACTGTATCATTTTCATTGTTTTCTTTGGTTTTGTTCTGTCTTGTTTTGCTTATTATATTTAAGGTATGGTAGCTATGCTGAAGATAAGATACATTATGGTAGCCATTGTTTATTTCCTATTATGTTGTTTTGAAGTCCTGTAACGTTTTCATTATTTTGTTTTGGTTGGTTTTATTCTTTTTTGTTTTGATTTTACTATGATTGATGGCGTGGGAAGCTATTCTGAAGATGACAATGGCATTGTGGCAGCAACTGTTGATTTCCTATTGTCTTGTTTTGAAGTCCTGTATCCACTTTCCTTCTTTTGTTTTGATTGGCTTTATACTATTTTATCTTACTTGGTTTTATTCTCTTTAAAATAAAAATTAAATTAAATTAAAAATTCCTTATAAAGCACAGAAATGTTAAAGGGTTATACCTTCAGTAAAAGGGTAGAAAGAGATCCAGATCCCATTAGCCGTCTCCCTTCCAGAGAAAGAAGGAAAGGAGTGGGAACAGGGCCAGGGTTTGGGCGAGGCATAAAAACACCATGTAGGCAGGGCAAGACCAGGAAAGACAGAAAGAGTGAAGGACTTACCAACAGAAGGAGACGAGAGGGAAAATTGCCTTGGCAAAAGCAAACAGCTCTTCTTTAGGTATGTGCCTCCAGTTTAGGTCTTATTTCTTCCCCTGGATAAAATATCCTAAAACATATGTTTGTAGCCCGAAGTTACAGAAAGAAGAAATATGTAACTATAGTTAGATTCAGTAGAATGGATAAGCAATTCAATTAATTCCCAGTTTTAGAAATAGAATTACTAATTGCAAAGTATAAAATGGTTTGTTTCAGATACTTAAAAATAAAATTTGGATGAAAATGTGAGATAGGAATAAGATGCTATAAAAATGTCTGGAAAGACTTGAAAAAAGCCAAATAGAGTTCTAGGAATAAAGATTTTAATTTTTGCATTTAAAATTTAGCTTATGGGTTAAATAGCAGACTAGACACACTCGAGATTACTAGGAAGCTATTACATAAATGTGCATATAAATGAAAATATAAAGTTTAGCTGGGCATGTTGGCATACTTCTGTAGTCCTAGCACTTGAGAGGCTGAGGCAGGAAGATAACTGAGATTTTGAGACCAGGTTGGGCTACATAGTGAGTTCAAAGCCAATGTCATACATTTTGAAACGGTTTCATACATGACACAGAATCTATAATATTATTTTATAATAATCACCCAGAGCTAAATAAAAGGAAGTGCAGGAAATGTGCGTGCAATCTTGAAGACCTAGAAATAGGTGTATATATAGCTGAAGTAACGTATTTTCTATGGGTTAAGAATTCAAGCAGGATTGGACCATGTCCTTTCTGTCATGTGTAGGATCTCTGATTGGAAGGCTCAAATTACATATATATAAATTTTTTTCTAGGTCTTCAAGATATATGAGACAGTATATGTCTGTGTGTCTGTGCTTTAGTGATCCATACATAGGTTTTATTTATGTAATGACAGTTTTGAGTGATAAATATTAGTCACTATATTAGGGAAGGAAAAGAAATACAATCAAACAAGCAGGTCTGTATTTCTCAGAGGACTGATACTTAATCCTTGGTGCTTGTGGTTTCTACATCCATGGAGTCAACGAACTTTGGTGTGATTATAAATCAGAATAAATTACATTTTGTACATATTTTTTCTTGTCATTTTTCCCTAAACAGTAAGTGGAACAACTGTTTACATAGCACTTACATTACATTAGATATTACAAGTAATCTGGAAATGATTTTAGGGATAATGTACATCAATTATATGCAAATATTATACTTTTTATGTTAAGGACTTGAGCATACACAGAGTTTGATATCTGTGGGGAGTCCTAGAACTAATCACCCTTGGGTACCAAGGTAGTAAAAAGAAAAAAGGAATAAAATCAAGCAGGACTTCTCCATACTCCTTGGAGGAAATAATATTTAGTCTGAAAGGATTAGAAGGATAGAGATTAAGTGAATTTCTGTGAACATTTGGTTTAAGTGAGTAATTTAATGCACAAGAAGATAAAGTCAGTTGTGAAATCAGTACTACCTGGCTGGAAGATTTTTGAACCTTGGTAGTTGGGAATATATAGAATGGACCATGGAAGGCTGTGACTTAAAAATATGGAACCTCATGTATGTATTTGTTGTTTTTGTGTGGTACAGTGGACCAAACTGTAGCCCCAGACATAGTAGCCTCCTATCTACATTCCCAGCTCTATATGGAACCTATCACTGAAGTTTATAAAGTTGAATTGTTATGAATGGAATATGTTACTTGATAATAATTTGAGCTTGTGTATCATTAGTACCACAGAAAACTTTTTATGTGCTTAAAATCTCCTTATCATCTGAGTATCTTTAGCAACAAGTGAGTTTGCTACATTTTGGTGAAGAAGATTCTTTTTCCTCTAATAGTTGGAAATCACTGGGATTTGTTAACAGTGACTGAAAATTTTGCAAGTGATTATGAGTGGACTGAGTGGGGGAGGTGTGTGAGGTGAAGAGAGTGACTAGTTTAAGACAGGTGCGAAGGGTCTGGGATTTAGTTCAGTGGCATGAGAGCCTGTCTGGCAAGCATGAGGTTGTGAGTTCAACCCTCTGTACCAAAAAAAAAGAGAAATGAGGTTTATATTTGGAACAATACAGAGGAGATTAGCATGGCCCCTGCACAAAGATGACCTGCAAATTTGTGAAGCGTTCCATATTAAAAAAAAAAAAAAAAAAAAAGGTGAGAAGTGAAAGAGTTACTAATTTTAAAATTGCCCAGATTTGTAGATGTGAGGCCATTACTGACCTCTGTATTCTCTGCTTAGAAATTTGATTAAATGCAAAAGAATGAGTTGTGGAGCTGGCTGCTGATTTGGATATTTAACTAGGTTTTAGAATCCATTGGTAAAGCTTTCACCCTAACTTGTATCGGATTTTTTCTTTTCAAAAAATTGAGACGCATTCAAACTATTGCATAGTTAGAAGCTATTAAAAATGCAGGAGAAACACAAGAGTGTCAGGGAACATTGTAAAGCTGAGTGAAAGAAGACAGCAGAATCTCAGTGATAGCTGGCCCACCAATACTCATCTTCTGTATTAATCTATCTAATTTTCATACTCACTTCTCCCTTCGTTTTCCTTTTCAAGGTTGTGCATGCATCGTAATTTATTATCTTTTAGACCATAAGACTTCGTGGGACAGTAAGTTTATAAGAAAATATACTGCCTACATTCAAACTTCATCAGTTAAGAATTCATAAGAGCTTGGCCCATTTATGATACAAGAGATAGGATGGTTAGAATAAATAAAATAGCATATGAAAATGCCAAGTGTAATAGTTACACATGCATTTTTATTTTTAATTTCATGGAAGAATTTTTTGATCACATATTTTTAGAAAATCACAAATATTGAATTTTTCAAATTTCAGTAGCTAATATAAAATTTTTAATTTGTTCAATAATATGATCAGTTATGTAAATTTCTCAGTACTTAATCATGCTTCTATTTGTATAATTAGCCATGCTCAATTTCTTATTATCCTGGGTTTAATTTATGAGAAGTTCATTTGAGATTTTAAAATTCTAATTGCTGCAGGTATAAATCATGATGCAAACACTCAATTGTAAAAGAAATATTAACTTATTATCACATCAAGTCTATTTTCAACCACATAGGCTTCTAGATTTGCAGGCAATTCAATGCACGTTATGTCTGAGTCGCACTCCCACTTCGAAGATAGTGTAAAGCTTTTAGAGCCTGACAAAGCAGCAAATCACCAGCTGAACTCTGTGGTTCCCTCCCCGCTATCCCCAAGCATCTGTTGTGTAGCCCACCTCAGCATGCTGCCAGTTTCCTCAGCTTAGCCACTGCTTAAACTAGAGCGGTCACTTTTCCCTTCCTTTTAGTTTTCTTTTCTTAGTTGAAGTTTTCTTTAAATATGCAGTGCATACATCATAACATTTCCAGTCTTTCTCAACCCCATGATTATTATTTTTTTTTCTGTATTAACTATGCCATTTCAACTTTAGATTTCTATGATTAAGAAGATGATGGTCTTAAGCTTCTCGCCATGCTTTGGCTTGGCTGCCATTTGAGGCCTACTCTTGGCCCAGTTAGCTACATTTTAGTGAAGCAGAATCCTGTTACAGAACACTGTCTTTCAGCTGAAAATCAACACAGACCATGTGGAACAGTGTGCTCACTTATTGTCGTGGTGACTTGATCTAATGTACCTTGATAGCAAAGTATGTATGATTTTCATGTCTTTAGCTAATGCCAATAGAGTCTTTATGATAGTCTTAATAATTTTAGTAAATTAATAGGTAAAAATTTTACACACTTTTTGATGCTACTAAGTTTAAAGATTGTCTTTCTTTAAATTCTTATTTTTCATGTATTTTTGTTCTCAATTTTCATATTTATCTCTGCCCCTCTCTGTTAACTCTTAGCACTATTGTTCACTATACCCCTATGTCTTGATTATTAATACAAATATTAAACTTTCTGAAAAATAAACGATTCAATCTGGCTTTAAAAATAATTAAAGCAGCTGACAAATAGAGCATTTTACCTTGTCTGTTGATCATTTGCTCTGAAAGGTGTGTTAATGAAATAATTCTGTTGGCTTAAAGTACTTGACAGAAATACTTACATGGAATCTTTACTAGTGTATAAATCTAGAAAATTGTGTATATATAGGAATATATAAAATTTATTTTTAAAAATAGATTTAGAGAATATATATATATATATATATATATATATATGTCTTGAATCTCTCTTAAAAATCTAGTCTAGAGTAGAGCTATTTAGCATCAGTTTATATGACATTGAACTCAGGGTTAAAATTATGATTGAGATGCCCTATAATGCAAATAGAAATGTCCTAAGGTCATTATGTAATTTTATAAGGAGTTTCACCAGAGCCAGGAAGGAAAAGCAGTAAGTTTTATAACATGATTAACGCTGAGACAGCTGGCCTTTATGCGAAGTGGGTTGAAAATGGAACTCTCAAAAAAAAAAAAAAAAAAGAAAATGGAACTCTCAGTGTAGGCCCATGATGTACAGAAAAGGCATTCCGTTATGTGCACAGCTACCTGCATTTTTTACTTGATCAATATGTATTTTCAATTAAGTAGGGTGAAGATCTACCAAATGCAAATATGCAGTAAAACGTGGCAAGAGTAAAACAATACCTTGCAGTTTTTTTTTTTTTTAAGCTCCCAATGGATTAGTGATTTTAGTTTACATTAGAAGCGACAGTCTAGTGATGATTATTGCTCCTTTGGGACTGATAACAGAAATTGTGCCTTATCGTATTAGTTATTAGTATTCTATTTTGTACGTGGTATAAGAAGCAGTGAACATGGCCTGAATGTATTTTTCAAACAAGTAAATTATCTTTCAGTATTCATAAAAAATGTGGTTTGTCTACCTTAACAAAATAAAATCTTCATATGTAGTTTAGCTTGTATATTCTTTTAAATATTTCAGAAGACACAGCTCCTGGTCTAGGCCCAGTTTTCTTTGTAAAGGGATGCCTCATTGGTTCCTGTGTAATAGTCTTGACATGTGTATTACTCATTCCCTATGGGAAAAGCCAAAATATTCCACTTCCTTTGGAATGAACCAGTGGTATCTCATGTATCAGCTAAGTATTCACATTCTGTGTGCACATTGAGATTCTGTTTATATCTCTTTTCCTTAGATATGTTTTGTCATATTACTGTTCATTATAGTTTCTTCTTTATTTGTGAACTAGTCCTTCTCATTTCATAGAACTCCCTCAAAATTATTGCTATGGGTCACGTGGTTTAGAAATGCAACAGTCTTGAAATTACCAACACATTCAGCAATTTCTTGATGAATGTCCCAGTCAGGGAGAGTTTTCAAAACTATCCTGAAGAACTCTTTGAGCATTTCAAGCTTTCTCCTTCAGTATTTTTAAGAGTTCCTCCTAAACTCTCCACTGTAACAAATACAAAGTACAGAAAGGTAACAGTCTTCTGCTAAATCTAATGCACCATTTTAGCAATGAAATCTGTGAAAGAATTGTTAAAAAAATTATTCATGACCCTTCTTAAAGACAGTCAAAAAGCTTTGTTTAAGTGGGGCTATGATAATAAAGTTGTATAGTTGGAAAGAAGATTAGACTCAATACCAGAGGCAACAAAGGCTAGTGGAGATTTGTAACCAAAGATTCAGGTCGGGAGATCAGTGGATGAAAAATGATTCCAAGGAAAAATCAAGAATAAAAACATTCTGGATAAATTAAAGTAATAGGCTTTTTTCTTATCTATTGGGAATTAAACTCATGACCTTGCACCTGCCAGGAAGGCAGCACTATGCCACTGTGATATATTCTCAGCCCCTATTTTAACAGGAGTATTGCTAATGGTATGCTAAGGTGATGAAATATGCAGGCTGGGGGGTAAAAAACTTAGTCAGATATCAAGGGACAGGAATGAGGAATGTGATTAGATATCAGTGATAAGGGCCTTTTCCTAAATTGATTCACCATTGTTTATGCTAAAACTGGACAAAAGGAGCCAACCACAGTGCCCAAGATCATGGGCCTAGGCAAAAAAAGGAGTATAGAGATCTTCCCTCAAGTTTGGTCAAAGGAAAAAATCTTCATCAGAATAAAAATACTTACTTAGAAGAATAATGAAGTTAGGGTCTAATCAGAGATCATTTAACCACCTACCCAGTACAAGTACCAGTGGGTAGAAAGCATATGCAGCATGGCAGTGCTGGATGAAGAAATGATTCACATCTGAAGTAGAACATCGTATAGTATGACAGCCCAAGATTTCCTTTATACTATTCAGTATGACATACAATTTAAAACATAAGACTTGTTGATTTCTGGAATGTTTCAATTAGTAATTTTAGACTACAGTTGACCCCTGATAATAAACTGCATTAACTGAAACCTCAGATAAATGAGGGAACTACCATATTTGTTACTCCGTAATCCCTCTATAATGGTTAATTTATGTGTGTATATATTCAAACTATATGTGAGTTGCCTCAAGTAAAGATTGTCTTTATGAAGTTGTATAGATTTAAAGACCATCTCTGGTACATTCACTAACTAATGTTTTGGTTCAATGAATAAAATTATTTGCCCTTGAAATCAGAAGTTTACTAAAGCAATTTATTTCACATTGCATGGTTGTGAAATATATTGTGACTCCTTATTATTAGGAAAACTGAGGTATTGGAGAGTTGGATAGCTTGTTGAGATCTTACAAATTGTTCTTTAAATTTAGTTTGACACTGTATTCGTTTGATTCAATCCTGTATACTTTTCAGTAAACTAACATTTACTAAATTATTTTCTGTAGGAACTGTTGCCTCCAAGAAATGTAACTGGACTCATGGCCAGCACTTTTCTCAAATATAAGATGATGAAATGCATAGTGCCCAAGAAATTGATGAAGCACATAGTATTTTCTAGTTTATATGTTAACAGAACCTCTCTTTAAGAGTACTTGTCACTGAGAGCCCCCTTCTTATAAAACATACAATTTGGAACAGGTGCACTATTCTATTTTTTATAATATTGATTCAAGTTATTTTGTCTAAGTTGTCTTGACTTTGTATGTTAAAAAGCAATTTTTTTCTGAATTCTTCTCTGAATCCTTATGAAACCCAAAACTGTAGGAGATTGTTTCCATTTATTTATTAATAAGATGGATATCTGGGGGACTCACGATTGAATACTCAACTTTTGGATCTATGGTTTTTGAGCCTGTGGCCATTGTAGGGCCAGGTCAAGATGTATATGTCAAGTCATATTATTATAAATGACAAGGACCGTCTATACTCATTCATTTTGTTAAATTTATGTTTTTATTGCTCGAGAAGGTTACCTTGATAATTGTTTTTAAATGGACTTTTTAGTATCAAATGTGGCTCCAGAAATAGTGTAGAAACTTCTCTATTACCATTTACTTTTTGCTTAGTAAAGGGAAAAAAGAGCCCTTTTCTGATATTAAGCATTAGCTTAAAGTGTCTATTAGTAGAAAATCTAAACTGATCAAATTCAAATCTTAGGTTTATTATGAATTAAAGTTTAATCATAAGAGGACATCTAGACATTATGTTGTAATTTGAGATAGAAACATCAAAGAGCTAATAAAGATTGTGGATATTGGACGAATAGTCAAAGAGCTAATAAAGATTGTGGATATTGGAAGAGAATCCATTAGTTGTAAGAAGAATGAACCTCTTAGTATCCATGATCATCAGTACAAAAGAGCAGTTGTGCAATTACTGGTTAAAATTGGTAATAACAGAATAGACACTTGAGTTTTTAGTTTTTCCAAGGAAAATGTATCTTAACTTAGTTAAATGTAGTCCAGGAAAAACATATACACAACGCAAATGTTAAACATTTGCACATAAAGGAGATGTTGGCCTATCTGAATTTCAAAGAGGAGAAGGTGCAATAGGTATGAATTAGTGTGGGAGGAGTATGAGCTGTGACTCAGGACTGTGATTTTTCTGATGTAGGGTAACTCCTTTCCTCTCCATTTCAAAGAAAACTAAAAGTCTTACCTAATATCACTAATTCAGTGATTCAAGTTAGGAATATAAAAGGAAGTAGAGGAAACGTCAGTATTTTTTTAAAGGTTGATTTGTTAAATGACAAGTTCAAGGAAGGACTGGCAATCCAGATTTGATCTTTTAATTGAATTTTGTGCATAAAACAGTTACTTTAGGAATGTATATTTTAAATACATATGCTTCTCTTTCTGAACATTTTAAAATTTTTATTTCATTAGTACATGTGTGTATTACATAATGTTTGCATTCCTTGTGGAAAGTTGGTACATGTACATTATATTATGTACATGTATAATATATTTTTTAACTTTTTTTTAGGGGTATTTTTAAAATTTATTTTAAAGGGAATAAAACAAGCTTGCAGTTTAGCTCAGTGGCAAAAGTGCTTGCCTGGCAAGCATGAGGTCTTGAGTTTGATCTCCGTTATCAAAAAAGGGAATAAAACAAAACAATAAAATGGAACAAAGCAAAATTGGGGAACAATATTGAATTTCAAAAATAAGACAGAAGAAAATTCCCCATAGATACCATATTGCATATTGTTATCTTATAAATAAATGCTCCGACTATGGACTCTAGGCCTGCAAAGTTCATCAAACAATTCAAGCATCAAGTTGTTTTTTTACTTCACTTGCTAGGATCGCAGCCTGTGTCCCTCCGAAGCAGCTGATTGCTTACCAGGGGGCAGATGGGGCCGCACTCTTCTTGTCTCCTCAACCACACTGGCTGGCTTACTGGAGATCGTGGCTTCTTGGTTCTCCTGCTGGCCCATGACTGCCACTGCCCCTTAACTCCTTTTCTCATCCCTTTCCCTTCTCTCTCTTCCCTATCCGCACACTCCTACATTCCTCCTGCTTTTTTTCTTTCCTTTTTTGGGGTGTGTGTGTACATTTTTGAAGTGTGTAATGTTTGCATTTCTTTCTTCATTTTCTATTCCTCCCTCTAATTCTTGATCTCCTTCCTCCTTGAGAAAGATCTCTCCATTTCTGTCTCTCTCTGCCCCTCTCTCCCCTTCCTATTATCTATTTTTTTGCTATTTATTTTTACTTTGGATTTCTCATATAAGAGAAAGCATCTGATATTTACACTTATATATTTGATTTATTTCGCTTAACATTATGGTCTCCAGTATATCCATTTTCCTACAAATGTGCTGAACATTTTTACAAAAATTTTCCTTTAGAATCACCTCATAGAAAATTTAAAGTCCTAAGAATTTAGTACAGTTGCTTTATATATTTTGTATGTATTATTGTATACTTTGTGTATGTATTTATACTTATATTTGTAATACATTTAATATCACATCATAGGTTCCAATTCATTTACTTCATATTGAAGTTTGATCTTAAAAGAAAAGATATGCTGCTACTGAATATTTTTTAAGGCAATTACTCAAATAGAATTCTAGAATATTTTAACAGTAGCAGCAATTCTGATGTAAATATTTAAGATCCAAAGCAAGTATTTTGGGAAGTTAACTCATTTTTGTGTTTAATATCTATTTATATGTTTATCAAAAGAAGAAATGTTTTTACTTGCTAAAGTAAATAGAAATGACTGGGTAAGTAGTGGATTTTACAATCAAAGTAGAGAGTTTGGAAATAAATTGAAAAATAAACATTATCTTCAACTTTTGATATTCCCTCAAAGGGTTAAAAACACTCAGAAAGTCTCAGTTTTTCAAGTTGAATTTTTCCCTGTATAATGAAAACTAAACTGTAGTCCTAGATATCAGAAACTTTCCATCATCAAAATAGCTCTTAAAAACCTCAAAAAGATCTGTTCAGAGTAATAGGTTGCATGATTCAGAATCTGTGATATGATTTGCTTTGGGGCTGAGTTGAAGTATAGTATTACTTTAAATGTTTTAATGAAGAAGGAATTTAAAAAACAATTAGACAAGATCAACAGGATCAGAAGGGAAATGTCTGAATGTTTAATCATGCTGGCAAAAAGCTCATTTTCATTTGGGCTTTTTGCCAATTGTATATTACTTTTGTTTATTAAATTATAGTTTTTATTAGACAATATTTATGTAACAATCACAATGGACTCAACATTAAAAATACTCAAAAAAAAATACTCAGGCTTCATTTTTGTAAAAAAAAAAAAAAAGTATAACATTCAGCTGACCTTTCTGCTAGTTTGTGAATGAACTTTTCTTCCAACTTGTTTGAATTAATGTTACATTTATGAGTACCATATATATGTGTATATGTAGGTCTGTTTATGTGAAATGTGTCTTTTTTTATTTTATTAGTTCCCTTAGCCTCTATATAAGTAAGTTACAATAAGGAAAACACCTAGATAAACAATTTATGACACATTATCTTTCTTGTATTTTATCAAAAGTACAAACTGACTTAGCAATTACCAAAGCAAACTGTAAAGGAGCTATGCATACACATATATCTATATTTGTTCTTATATTTACCTTTATATATACACAAAGCCCTACGTCAACATTAGATACGACTGGGTCAGCAAATGTGAGGATCATCCCTCTGCAATACAAATATAATGTGAGCTACAAATATTATTTTATTTGCAGTAGAAATATAATATGGTCCTCAAATGGAATCTTATTTCCTGTGGAAACATAATTTGATCCAACCCTAAAAAGAATAATTTAAACAAGATAGGTGCTATGGCTCATTTTTATAATCTCAGGGACCTTGGAAGCTACATGAGAACATTGCAAGTTAAAGGCCATCCTGAGTAACTTAGGGAGATCTTATCTTAAAAAAAATAAAATAAAAATGACTGGGATTATAATTTGGTGGAACACTTGCTTCCCTTGTGTGAGGCCCTATGTTCAATCTTCAGTAACACACACACACACACACACACACACACAGTACCAGCAGATTAAATAAATGCTATTTTTAATTTCATTCAGTACATCCAAAATGTTATCATTTCAACCTGTAATCAGTATAGAAATTATTGTTATTTTATTTTCTGTTTTTCATTTTAAAAAACATCTTTAAAATTCAAGGTGTATTCTAAACTTAAAGTGCATTTCAGATTGGATTAATCGTATTTGAAGTGCTAATCATGTGTGGCTAGGTTGCCACTATTAATGGGCAGCAGAGGGTAGGTGATTTTCAGCTGTGAGGATAGAGACTTTGAAATAATAAAATCAGAATTTAATCATAGATCCTTTGATAGCCTATTCAGTAATCACTGCTTCTTTATTACAGCAGGTAAAGGAGAAACACAGCAGAAAAAATAAGAAAGCTTTCTAAATATTGTGGACATAAAGAATATATACTAAAAGAACTGTCTCACTTAATTTTCTTAGCTTGCTGATAGCAACATTTTTCAAATTTGAATCAGATATGAGCCACAGAAATTTCCAGCCCCTCTTGTTTCCTCCTTATAAAGAAAGAAAAGCTTGCCTGTGTCCAGGTTGCAGAAGGCCTTCAGATCAGGTGACTTTTTCTTTAACTTGAGTGGTTGGGAGGGAAGGGCCTGAGTTTGATTCCCAGTACCAGACACTTAAAATGTTTTTCAGTTGTCAGTTTAGCAGTATGTGAGGTAGACCATTGAAAGTGAAGGAGCCCTCACCTTCATGGGTAAATTAATGTCTTTATGAAGGAAATAATCTACTCCAGGAGTGAGCTCCTGATGAAAGGATAAATTTGCTGCCCTTTCCGCACTGTCCATATCGTTACTTGCCTTTCTACCTTGCTATCATGAAGTAAGAAGGCCTTCACTAGATGTTTGGACCTTGATATTGGGCTTCCCTGTCTTCAAAACTGTGAGAAATAAAATTCTCTGCTTTCTAAATCTCGTACCCTATGGTATTCTGTTAAAGAAACATATAAACCAACTAAGGCAATGACATACTGGGTCAATAAGTTACCTAAACCTAATAAAAAGAATTTCTTTCCACACAATTGAAAAGAATTGTCATTAATTGACAAGGGATTGGAAAAGGACAAACCACATGCTAATTCATTTACTTATTGAATAAATATTTATTGAACACTTATGTTCTAAAGAGCACCCAAAATTCCTTATTGTCACAGAGGTTAAATTATTGTAAAGGAGAATTTTCTGTTTCATTGCAGGCATTTGCTAAGTACTTTATATATGTTTTCTCTTTTCAGTTTCACAGTAACCTATGGTTTTATCAGTATTTGCACTTTATAGGTGAAGCAGGGGATGTAGCTTAAGGTTAGAGCACTTACCTAGTATAATATGGCAGCCCTGGATCGGCAGCCCTGCAGTGCTTGGAGGTGGGGGAGAAATTAAAAGAGTCATTGGCAGAATACACTATAGTTCCAAACACTTAGGAGAGTCACGAGCCTAAGTGCACCCAGGGCAGCAGCAAAGTAGTGAGACCCTGTTTCACACACACACACAAAAAAAAGATAAAAGGAGGAGAAAGAGAAAGGAGGGTCAAAATAAGACCACAACCCTGAGTCTTACAAATTCTTCACGATTAGACTATAATGGTGATACGTAGTTAGCTCCAAACTCATCATATATATTGTGTACTACTTTTCATGTGTCAATCATACCTCAATAATGTGGTTTTTACAAATACATGATAAAAATCTTACTTGGTTTGTTCTAATAGCCTCATAGATTTACTCCTATACAATCACCCATGGTTACATACTCTATGTTAATTCATTTAGTAATATTAAAAATGTAAATTTGCTCTTCATTTAATTTTCATGGTGGAAGTAGTTTTGTAGTGTTAGGCTTGGATATGTCTCCAAAAAAGTTAGATCATTCAGTCTGATCTGGTGGTAAAAACTGCCATTGCCCTCAGTAACAACAGGACAATTTTTAATGGCTGCTGTCTTCAGAAGGGTAACTCTGACAAGCAGTTATTTCTTCAATAACATGGTCTGTGAAACAACAGAGTGCAGCCAATTATAATCAGGCAGGTGCTGCCACGACTGACAGTGGCAGAGGTGCTATAGGAATGTATAGATTTTGGACCAGGGATATAGCCAGCTGCACAGCACATGCCTGGAAAGCATGAGTTCAATTCCCAGTACCACAGCAACCAACCAACAAACAAAATGAATGAATGTTCCTCCACAAAATGTGTTTGTTTGTTTATTTTATTTTTTTGTGGAGGAGTATAATTCAGGATATTACATCACGAAGGGAAAAAAATAAAAAACATGGAAGCCAGACAGTTCTGTTCACTACTGATTAGTTGCAGTATAACATTCTGCAAACTGATTACCAGCAGCCATAAGTCAGCTCCTGGCCCAGCAGATTAGAGTTGTGATCTGCCAAGATGTTTAGATACCTTATTTCTTACCACATTAAGGTTTTGATTGCATCTGGCCCAAAAGAAAGGGGACATAATCATATTTTAATGAGTTTGCCCAAACTTTGCAATAAGCACATTGTGTCTATTCCTTGCCTACATTGAGTTTAGCATTGTTTTCAGATTTCTCCTGATAGATCCATCGCTATCATAATCTGTTTTCTGTTTCTTTTTAGAGTGATACGTTTTGATTAGTTTTATTCTGTTATGTTTGATTTTATTATGTTTGATGATATGGACAGCTATTTTGAAGATAACAAAAGGCATTATGGTAGCCATTGTTGATTTCCTGTCATCTTGTTTTGAAGTCTTATATTACTTTCATTATTTTGTTTTGATTGGCTTTATGCTGTTTCATTTCGTTTGGTTTTATTCTCTTTAAAATAAAATAAAATGAGATACTTTCAGTGTAGCAATGAAAATTCTGTGAATATAGACTGATCACTTTGATGCCAGTTTCTACCTACTTGTGAAATCTTAAGCAAATGATTTAGTTTCTCTTTCTTTTTTTTTTTTTTTTTTTTTTTTTTTTGCCTGTGCTGGGGCTCATATGCTAGACAAGTTCTGTTCCACAAAATTATGGCCCAGCTTCAAGCCTCTGACAGGACTTTTGTGAATGAGGTGCATAGAGGAATGCCTGGCACATCATCCGTGTTATATACACTAGTTAGATTGCTATAAGATTGTTGCTATTGTTACATATTTGCCACACTTAAATTAATCTCAGTATCCTCTTAGCATCAAGTAGCAGGTGAACAGAGCATTTGCTTTTTGATTCTTTGTACCTTGCCTATGATTGTCGTCAAATTTTTGTTAGCTATCAGACAGCTTGTGATTTCAATCAAGTATTTCATGCTGTAATAATCAGGCCTATAGAGCAGGACACATGAGAAGAGGCGAAGCAGCAGCAGCACAAGTAATAGTCTGGATTTCCATCATTGAGCTGGACGGAGCTTGGGGAGTTCCTGCCGCCTCTGCACATGATGGTTCCCGCCACTTCTTGTGTCTTCCCCCTTGCTCGCAGTCCTGAGTACAACTTGAGTGGTTCATGCTGTGTGTGGGGATTTCACTCAGAAGTGAGATGATTTAGACATAGCAACTGTATGGGTTGTAAACTTGTATTTTGGCTGCTAGTAAAGACTGTGTATTAGTCTCAACTATTTTTATTGTGCAGCCAAAAAACACAGCAACACTTTCCAGAACAGATACTACTTACTTTTCCTTTGTTTTGCCTTTATATGGTTGTCGTATTTTTGTTCCATTTTTTTCTTTTTTAAATAAGATATTCCTAAACTAGTAAATCATGTCATACTATGAAGCTTAATTTTAACCACCTAGGGGTTAGGTGAAGGCTGAGGAAAAGGAAAATCCAGTTACCAATGTAGGGAACATTTTACGAAATGAGTGAAGGGAGTTATAAATTAAGGTTGCTATTGATAAAGTGAAGGTCAGGGCTGAAAGTACTGTTTGGCACAGTATTCCCAACGAACAACAGCAATAGAAAATGAACTGTATTATTTTTTACTGACTTGTTGGGTTGGAGATTGAGGCATTTCAGTGCACAACCAGGAAAATAATAGGTTACTTTCACAATGGTAGAAGTTTAACAAATGCTCAATCATTCACCCTACGTCAGCGCTGTCATTGGTGAGGGCTTTACTATATGATATTGATGCCTTGCTTCGAGCTTATTGCTGTATTCTTTTCAGATTCAATCTGTCTGCAATGGGCCACTAAACATTTCAATTTGCTACCTGTAGAGCTGGATTGCAATGCTCAGACTGAAATGAGACAGAAATAGATTTAGTGAAACCCAAAATAGAGAGTTTCATGGATTTTTGTACAAGGATGCACAAACTGAAACCCACTGATAAGATGTATGTGATCACTTTTGAAAGTCTCATAAAAGTACATGGCATTAAGCAATTCATGGATATATATAAGGAAAATAGACTCAGCTGGATACTGATAAGACCCCCTACCATTTAGAGGAACTCAGAGTCAGTCAGGCTGGGTGTCCCTGCCTAAAGTCAGTGCCATGATGACAGTTCTTCTTTAGTGAGCCTAAGCTGGTAAAGAACAGGAAAAAGTCAAAACTGTTTTCTGGGTATACTCATGAGATTTCCTACAGAGTAAGCATTCCTTTCAAGTGGGTCCTCTTTACTGTTTTCATTTCCTGACTGCTTCCTATAGTTCCTTCCAGTGCTTTGACGGGCCATAGTTTTATATTTCCCACTTCCGTGGTTTTTTTTAAAAATAATTCATGTTCATTCTCTGTGCTTTTTCAGATAGTTTAAAGCATTACCTATTTAGCCTAAATTTGATATTCGTGATGTAAAATGGATATAACATAAAGAGAATTCAGAAGTATCCAGCAGAAAAATGAAATTTCAAAAGTAGATCATTTAAGCAGTGCCACCAAAAAAAAAAAAAAAAAAAAAAAAAGAAGAAGAAGAAGAAGAAGAAGAAAAGAAAAGGTGCCACAGTCCATTGGAGAACTGCAAATTAAAACAAAACTGAGATTCCACCTTACCCCAGAAAAAATGGCCATCATCAATAAATCAAATACTGCAGAGACTTGGGGGTAAGGCAGATGACCCTTTTATATTTCTGGTGAGAGAGTATGCTAGTACAGCTACTATGAAAGTAGGTCTGGAGATTCCTCAAAAAACTGAACTAGAAATTCCATTTGGTCCAGCTATTCTTTTAGGTATCTTCCTGAAATAAAGACAGACTGTTACAGTAACACATGCAAACCCATGTTTGTAGCAACACAATTCATAATAAATAAATTTTGGAAGTGGCCCATACATCCATTAACAGCTGAATGCATACATAAAGAAAATGTATTATTTACACAAGATTGAGTACTACTGAGCCATAAACAAAGATAGACTTTAATCATTTATAGCAAAATGGATGCATCTTGAGACCATAATATTAAGTGAAATAAATCAGAAAGACAAATGTAAATATCACATGGTTTCTCTTATATGGAAAACCCAAAATAAACACAAAGAGCAAAATAAAAGATATAAAATAGATGTTTTGAGATGGGGATATAAAAAAGATGTTTCTCAATGGGGAAAGGTATTAAAAGATGTAGAGAGGGATGAGGGACAGGAGGGATATGAAAAGAAAAAAAGAATTGGAATTTCTTATGTATATACCAATTCCACACAAGGAATGCAAATATTTTATAATTATGCAAATATTGTAATCATGTACCATGAAATAAAGTAAAAATAAAAAACAAGGGGATAACAGATTCGCTGGATGGGAAAGGGAAGGAAGGGAAGAGAGGATGAAAAATAAAGAAATAAGATGTATTATGTATGTGTGGAAACTTGCCACAGGAATGAAATATTATGTACCACACATGTACTGACAAAGCAAAAAATACATACAGACATACAGACATGCATACATGTACTACAATGAGGCAACCCTTTATGCCCACTAGGTTGGCTATAGCAAGAGAATGGAAAATAAAAATGTTGGCAGTGTTGAAAATTGGAGCACTCTTGCAATGATGGTAAGAATGCAGAGTAATTCAGCAGTTGAAAGTTTGAAAATTCTGTAAAAAGATAGGCACATGTTAGTATAGGTGAGTGTACGAGGCTACAGTACTATTCTTAGGTATATGTAAGTCAAAAACAAAAGAAAGACAGACTGAAACAAGTATCTGTTCACATGTGTACTGTGCAGAGCAACCAGAAAGATAAAAATGGTTCAAATATCTGTCAATGTGTAGGGAAACAGTATGAGTAATAGTATATCCACAATTGTATTATTCAGCCATGAAAAAAATTAGACTGCTGATGCATGGCACAATTTAGTTGCAACTCCGTAACTGTACATTTTACTCAAAGGCCACATCTTGTATAATCCAATTCATATAAAGTATAGAGAATAGATAAATACATAGAAACAGAATTCAGAATGATGGCTTCCAGTGCCTGGAAGAAGGGGAGAATTGGGTCAAACTGTCTCCTGAGTAAGACCTTCTTACTTTGGAGTGATGGAAATGTTTTGGAAGCAAGTCAAGATAATGACAGTGCAGCATTGTGAATGTGTGAAATGCCACAGAATTCTTCATTTTAATATGATTAATGTTATGTTGTCTGAATTTCACCCTAATAAATTATTTTTGAAAACATATGTAGCAGAGGGATGTTATCCAGGAGAAGAGGAAGGAGGATTGATAGAGACAAATTCTCATAGATGGCTTTGTTGTTGTTATTGTTATCTGTGATGCTGGGATTTTATTTCTTGAAAAACAATACCAATGGACCTCTACTTCTACATAGTTGTCTAAACAAGAAAAGTTAATTTATAGCAGAAGAAATATTGAAATATTGGCTATATTCATTCTCACCAAGTAAATGTGACCTTTTATAGAATGGTGATTTTTTGACTTTGAAATTTTTTCTTACAGAGATAACTATTGTTAATGTTATCACTCTAATGAAATACTTAATAGGAGTTTACTGTGCATCCAGCATTGTGCTATTATTTGGGATATAACTATAACCAAGATATATATGATTTACTCCTCATAGCACTTACATTTTAGTTAAGGAGGAAGACCAAAAATAAGTAACTAAATGCATAATATTATAGGACATGCTACAAGTTACAGTGGAAACCAGTAGAAAGCTAAGGTACAGAAGTGTGGGAGGACATTTGGTCTGTTCTACTGGAGAGGGTATACAGAACCTCAGACCTGGGGGATGGCAGCCTTTGGGCTTAAAATAAGTTCTTATGTGAGTGGAGATTTTCTAGTGAGAAATCTTCTAGGATCTGGGGATATAGCTCACTGATAGAGTACACATTTATCATGCAGGTATCCCTGGATTGAAGCCCAACCCCTGCACCGCCCAAAAAAATCTAGGTTGAAGCAAATGGTTGCATAACCCTTTGTGTTATGTATGCCATCAGCACCTTGTGCTTGCTACCAAAATTTTCCAAGACTTTACTACCAACATTAATTTTTGGCATAGTTCCAGATTGGTTCCACACGACTTATACAGTCTCTAACCAGATACCTTGTTTACATCACTGCTATGAGAACCTTTGTGTTATTTTGAATAAGACTTTGCTTTTTGCCTCTTAACATTACTGTGATAACAGGGATTTTGATGTACTGGATGCTTTGAACTGTTTCCTAACTTCTGGCTCCATTGTTCCCAGGTTCGACTCTTGATTAATTTCTGACTTCTGGTTTCATTTCTATAGCATTCCTACAGATCTTGTTTACTCTATTTTCTGTCTTCTATTCTCTCACCGTTTACATTTTGTTAAGTAAAAGAGGGCAGGCAAAGGTCTGTTCACTTCGAGGTCATTTATCATACTTGCTAGTTGATTTCAGACACAGCAAGGTCAGAATTGGAATATTTATGGTGAAAAGAGAAAAAATGAGAGCAAAATCAGAAGATACACAATTGTTTGCTTTCTCCAATAGTTTTATCCACAGTTGGAAAGAAGTACATATAGTCTGTATGTGTATAACTTGTGTGGTTGGATCACTTCTGATCAGTGGATTTGTTTACTCACAACATTAAACTAGAACTAGAGAAGAAAAGGCATGTTAAAAGCAGTTGGGCAGTTGTCACAGATAACCTGAGGTTATAGTTCCAAAATTTACAGTATCTCAGAATTCCAGAGAAAAGTAAGGACTTCATGAAACAGGATTTTCTGGAATTCAGAAAATGGATTCTGACCTCAAGTTCAGGGCACTAGGAATAAGTACATCTTTATTACTGGTCTATAATTTATTCCTTAGCCTTGAATATTCCTGTATTTTCCCTATGATCAGGCATGACTTGTGTGGTCATCTTTATCATATCATATATTTATCATAATGCTACCACCTATAGTGGACAGTAGTGGATTCTACCCAGAATTTGCTTTCCTATCCTCCTTCCTAATAATGTCCACCCTTCCCTTAAGAAGCCATTGGGACTTCTGGCAAATCTAACTTTCTGAGCACTAGAGTGAAGGCCAGGTTAATCAAATCTAGTCATGGTAATTGTATTCCCTTCAAGTGATGGATTTAGAACTCAGAGTTAAACCAGACAACATGGCACTCCCTGGGGAGTATTATTAGTGTAGGGTAGATTCAGAATTTGAACTGACTGAGTCAAACTGAAAGATTTGTATTTCAAAGTTGAAAGAGAAAGGCTTTCTCTCTTTTGCAGCTTGAAGGAAAACCTGAAGATAGATAACCTGTGTAGGAGGAAGGAGCTAAGTGAATCAAGCAGTGAGGGCACCTGCCCTTAGTTTATCATCCTAAAGCCTCCACAACTTTTGACAAACTGCTGTATAAGAAAAGAGATTGTGTTAGTTCTTGCTTTTCCAGGCTAATGAAAGCGTACCGATGAATAGGCCTCCTTGGATATTCCTTCTGCAGTTGGTGTTATATGTTAAAATACATGATCTTATTTCAGGAAACAGCTTTGCAACTTAGCAAGTCATCCCCACTTTATCGGAATGAAAGGCCATAGTGCTGACTTGCCTAAAGTTCAGGCAGGATTGAAGTCCTGATCTTCAAATTTAGCTCTTATTTCTATTCATATCACAATCATTGTCACAACTTAAGAAAAATAGTATGGACTACACAGGAATAATAAATTTGGAATTTAGCCTATGCTTTGTCACTCTGTGAGCTTCAGAAAGGCATCCTATATGTGGGCCCCATCTTTCTTGTCAAGCTAGTGGGTAGCTTATATCAGTCTCCAACTTTACTTATGGATCTAAAACCTGTTGATTCCATTAAAGTTTCTCCTCTTTATTTATCTGTCTTTTCATATTTCCTTATAATCATCATTATAACACAAAAGAGTATCAGTGCCTTCTTGGGTGCTTATAAGTATAGGAGGCTCCTAGGGAGAGAGTGGATCCTTTGGGCAATCCTGGTATTAAGTGTTCTGGACTCTACAGTCCCTGCCTGGTTGATTCTGTGTGGTCTCACTGTGTTCTTCTTCTTCTTCTTCTTCTTTTTTTTTTTTCCAGCCACCATTGAACATTGTCAGCTATCTAAGGTGTTTGTAACCATGATATAAACTATGCAACAAATTTTGTCTAACCTCTTTCTCTGCTGTCCTTATGGTAGCTGTTAAAATTGCCTCTTTTAATGATTGTTTCTAAAGGAAGAATTTCTATACTGGTAGTACAACCAATGGGAGATACGTAAGTCAAAGATCACAAATTAAGTGCTAGAGTAACCCAGCCTTATAGAAGCCCTTGTATTTTGTCTGACTATATGGAAAGATTTTGCTTTTCTGAATTTTAGGTCAGTTCTTATAATTTTCTCTTAATTTTGAGGCCTTACTTCAAGAATTCCTGTCTGAATTAACTGATGAAATCAAAACTGACTGCTTCTCACCTGTTTTGCATGTTGTGTAATATTTCACCAGACATTGCTTGTTTGTTTTCATTACATTAGTACAGGCATTCACAAAGGGTTGGGGGCAGAAATAAGACTACTAAGAGGTCAGTGTCTTTATCTCATTCGGGAGGAGATTTTGTAGTATCAATTCATGAAATCAGGCAGTTCACATCACATATTAAATCTCATTCTTA